TTTTTTTTTTTTTTTTTTTTTTTTTTTTTTTTTCTTTTACAATTTTGGAATAATTGCTCCTCAAGGGTTGGTTGATCTGTCTCCTGAAGGCATATTTTACCATCTTTAAACTCCAGTTAATTGCTTAATTGATTACTAAATTAGTTGACGATTATAATCGATCAATGCCGATTAATTGTTTCAGCCCTATGGCTAACAATAGGCTTATATTATTAGAGTTTGTCAAAAAAACTCCTGCACAAAATGCATAACCAAAAAATGAATGCTTAGATAACATCTTGTTGATTTTATTGGGCATCTATCACAAACTCCCATGTTTCAGTCTGACGCTTTCTCACTTTGTGCTGTCAGTTTGGTTTGGAAAGCCAGGCAGTTGTCAAAGCAAGAGCTCTGCTAATAACATTTACAGTAAAACATTTTGTCACATTTCATCCAAAAATTGTCAATGTTTTGATGAAGATTAAATATCTGACAGTAACATAATTTATTTAATTGTAAAGTGCAAAAATACAATACAAGGTTCACCTTTTATTCAGAAATCATCCAGGCTTGGAAGGGGCTTGAGTGTCTTGAGTTATTGCAAGAGTAAATTATTATCTCCTTTTCTAAAAGATTGACTTCTTTCTGAACAACTTTTTGACTTGATCTGATGATTGGGATTAAAAGTAAACACTGACAAGAACAAGGCGTCATAACACCTCTACCTATAAAATAAATGCAGGCGTGTAGCCTACCAGATAAAGGACTCTGGAAGATGCGTCAGTGAGTGCACTGGAATGATTCCTTCAGATGCATGAAAGATTAGTGTTGCAGGAAGTTCCTTGAATGAAAAAATGACCCTTTCTGCTATAATTACTGCAGACTTTTTTGGTTCTCACTTGGCACCTGACTTTTAAACAGAATAAAGAGAGCAGAACACCTACAATGCCTCAGTTTTTATATCTTCCTTCCAGTATTTTGCAAGTTGTGATGATCAGCATCTTGAAGGCAAACATGTCGAATCTTTGCCCCCACTGTTCTGCTCATTCAAGAGATGTTGAGCCCGTGTGCACCTTGTTACAACAGTAACATGTTTTTAACATGCAAAATTAAAGTAGATGTAAAAGAGCATATTATCTTTTACCACAAGAAAAGGAACAATACTGCTGACCTCTCGAGCGTCTACCCATCATCTTACACCATCACGGCTAGAGATAATCACCATATAGGCATTGAATAGATGGAATATTAGTTTTCCCCCCAAAACATTATAATTGAGATTTCAGACAACCTTAAATTTTATTCCTTCTTTAATGAGATTTGATGCATTATAACATTGAAAAAGATAATTATTGATATGAACCAAAAATAAATCTCACTTAAAAACATCTTAAATCTTTGGCCTATAAGAAGTATAAGCAATTTATCAATTTACAATCAATAATTTCTTTCTGGTATTTGCAACTAAATTAAACAAACCCAGGCTGATTAAAAAAATTAGAACCCCCCCAAAAAATCTTTATGACACTTTATGTTTTGATACTAATGTATTATGCATAGTCTTATGTTACGTGTTAAACTGTGTATATCTTTCCTGGCACAAATGAGTGTCCATAGTTTATAAATGTAACGTGATGGAAAATTAGATTATCTAGGGTATACAGAGCTTCCTCTGTGTCAGTGTGAGTGAATGAAACTTAACACATCACAGATGTTTAGATATTGTCCACCCCCACGCAGTTCAAAGGTTTAAGAGTGAGAGGAAGCGCTTCCATCTATAGTCTGAACATAAGAAGTCATACTCAGAAACCATCTGTTTTATTCTAATATCCTTTAGAAACTAACTTAGTCTGACTTTTTTCCTTTAAAGTACTGAAGATTGCAGTATTCTATTTGGTATTAGGGAACCAACATATAAGCTTTTCTTTCCCTCTTGAATCATCTGATGCTTAAAGGCTGCTCTGGGTGACATTAGCCTTTGAAGTTGGTCTAAAACTTTAACTTCCATTCCTTCCAGATGACTCATTTTGGAAAACAGCTCACCTTCATCTATAAATGAAGATGGACCAAGTAAAAAAATAAACATTCTTATCTGCTGAAGTGACATACACAGTGCTACAGATTTTGAGATATATTATTATTACTATTATTTTAGAATAATTAGTCCTGCTGGCGCTGGTAGAGAAAAGAAAATGCTGTTATGCTTTTGGATAAGTATAACTCTCTCTTACTGCTTCATTAACTCAGATACATTTTCATGATGAAATGTTTCATGTTTATGGTTCCCTGTTACAAGTGGAGGAATTTTTTTTGGGTTAAATTATGCCTTTTTGGGAAGAGACATTCAGTTGAGGTCAGTAAATAGTTGACTGTAGCATTAATCAGCATTACATGGGTCAAATCAGCAAGGTTTACTTTTGGTGGAAGTTAACAAGTTGAAGATTTCTCTGCAGGTGCTTTTAAGTTGCCCTGTTTTTAACAGATAAGGTACATATCTGCAGAAGCATTATGATGAGTGATGGTGGGTTTAGCTAAAACTCAGCTAAAACTTACTGTACCTCATCCAGATTGTGTATTTAAACAAAGGTTTTACCCTCATATGAAGAGTAACATTTACATAGAAACAGTAGCATACAGGGATTCTCAATTTGAGATCAAAAGAGCTGACTTTACTTAATGTCAATTAGAGACAATTACTTCTGACAGTTCCATTTTTCATTTTATTTTTTGTCCAAAGATATTTTATTTTTCAATGTTCTTACAACATAATGTATAATACTTGCCATTACTGCCCCCATGTGGTATTATCAATACTTGTATTCATTCTAAAATTAATCAAAAAGTAGAAAAATTATTAGAGCAGTGGTTTGGCATCAAACAAAAAAATTAAGTTTAATTAAAGAAACGATAATGATAAAGTATATTTATGCTCTGCTTTTTTGATAAGACGAAAAAACTGGAATATTTTTTCTTAATTTATTTTTGTTGCATATCTATATTTCTTGATCTTGTTACTGTATTCTCAAAATGTAAATGAATGATCAAGTGTCATATTAAACTGAAACATAATTCATTGTTTGATGCAGGCGGCTTTATGCATTTTGATGTGGTGTTCACAAGTAATAGATGTAAAGCTGGTACTTCTTCAATTGCAACTATAGCTAAACTAATTTGAATCACCAGCCTCCAGTAGGACTTATGTATTGGTGTAGAAGTAGCTCTTAGTAAATAGTATGCATGATAAGGGGTGGTAAAGCCTTTGCACCTGCATCGGGTTTAATAGGAGGAGGAGGATGTGTCTGAATACAGAGTGCAAAAAAATCCAATATCAAACCGAAAACAAACTTCACTTCAAAGTGGTTAGAACAGTGCATTGTAAGCTTGAATATTAAGTGTTATATTATATGTAATGTTATGGTAAAAGCGAAACAGCCTGTAATTATATCACATTTTCAACATTCAGTTAGTCACCCAGTCACTCATATTCACACATACATGGTTGCAAGTTAGATTGTAGGCACAGCTGCATTAGGGCACACTGACAGAATCGTCACTGCCATAGACAGACAGGACTGGGCCCCCCCATTAGTAAGCAATGCAGGTAGTGTTTTGCCCAGAGACACAATGGCTGAGACACCTGATAGAATGTAGTTTAAACATTTGACCTGCTGTTTTTATGCTGCTTAAATGTGGTTATATTCTCCTTTTAAAACGCTTGCCATGCTTCTGCAGGCTAATATGGGAGACCTGGCTTTCAGCATGCTGTTTATGTATTATATATAAGAATTGTAGGCTCAGAGTGATGTATGTCACCAAACTGTAGTGCATTTAACTTAAGCAAAACAAAAGCAACAGTATGGGTGATATTTGTGTTTTGTCACTGACTATTACTTCTGCCAAGGAGGTAATAAATAGTCGGGTTTGTCTGTGTGTTTGTCTGTTTGTGGGTCTGCGTACAGGATAACTTTAAAAGTTATGAACGGATTGTAATGAACTTTTTATCAAAGGTGCACCTCAGTCCAAGGAACAATCCATTAAATTATGGTGATGATCCACATTATAATTCTAAATGCAGGCTTTTTCTAAACAGATTATTTTACATTAATTGGAATAACTTGCAGTACCCCCCGAACAGAGTGGCAGCAGTGACCATTGACAGCCTACTTAAAACTTACTTAAAAGACTTTAAGGAAATTGTTACCAAAGTGCACCTCATTCAATTTGATAATGATCCAGATCATGTGAGAGTTTTAGCTTTAAGTGTAGGTCAGAATAACAGGCAAAATTTGCTGCCAGGCGGAGGTCTGCGCTCTCAAGTGCTTTTCTAGTTTTTGATTTG